TTCCCAAGCTCCTATCCCTTCCGTCTCTCCTTCACCCACTCTTTGTTGTTTCTTGAGAGAAGGAAAAAAAAAAGAAAAAAAAAAGAGAGAAGCCAAACCCCAAACCAGGAGGCAGGAGCCTGTTTTGCCTCCCAGGCAATATTTCTGGAGCCAATCGGAATGCGCACCCACCCTGCCCCGCTCCCTAATTAAAGGCTTTGGAGCAGGGCCGCCCGCAGCTCTGGGCACACACTCTTGGGTCGCCTCTCAGCAGGAGCAGATCGGGGTAGGTTGTGGGTAGCGGGGGGTCCGGGGTGGGCTGCAGCCCCCCGAGCTGCAGCGATGAGCGGCTCCTTCGACAAGAAACTCACCAGCATCCTCACCGACCTGTCGGGCTCGCTGAGCTGCCATGCCTCCTCCAAGGACTCCCCAACACTTCCCGAGTCCTCCGTCACCGATCTGGGCTACTACAGCGGCCAGCACGACTTCTATCCTGGCCAGTCCTACGGGCAGCCCGTCGCCCATTACCCGTATCCCCAATTCAACCTCAATTCCATCGGCGCCGGCGGAACCTATTCCCCTAAATCTGACTATTCCTACAGTCCGTCCTACCGGCAGTATGGCCACTTCAGGGAACAGCAGCTCCCGGCGCAGGATGCAGGTATGGGGTTGTGTGTGGGGTGGGAGAGCTGTTGGGTCTCTGTTGGGAAAAGCTGTGACCCCCCCCAGCTGGGTGGCAGAAGTTGTTGATGGTGGTTGGGGGCTCAATGGATCATCATAGGGAACGTTGTAGGGATCGCAGTTCACTGGTGTGGGGATCCCAATAAGAAGTTCCCAACTTCTTATTGTAGGGATCCCAGTATGTTTTTGTAGGGAATCCCGATGTATTGTTATAGGGATTGTCGTAGGGATCCCAACTTGTTGTTGTTGTAGTGATCCCAGTGTGTTGTTGTAGCAATCCCAATGTAGTTTTGTAGCAATCCCAATATATTTCCATAGGGATCCCAATATATTTCCATAGGGATCCCAATGTATTTCCATAGAGAACCCAATACATTTTCATGTGGATCCCAATGTATGTTTGTAGGGATCCCAATGTATTTTTGTAGTGATCCCCAAATATTTTTATACGGATCCCAGTGCAGTTTCGTAGGGAATCCCAATATATCACTACAGGAATCTCAATGTATCATCATAGGGATCCCAGTGTATTTCTGTAGCAAATCCCAACGTGTTTCCATAGGGATCCCAATGTATTGCTCCCCAAAAAGGGTTTAGGGCTGGGTCTGCCCTGCTTTGCTGCCATGAAATGGGGTGACCCGGCTTGCTGTGGGTTGGGGGCTGCATGGGGACCCTTTGCCAGCCCCATCCTCACCCTCCTGCTCCGTGTGCAGTGTCGGTGAAGGAGGAGCCGGAGCCCGAGGTGCGGATGGTCAACGGGAAACCCAAGAAGATCCGCAAACCCCGCACCATCTACTCCAGTTACCAACTGGCCGCCCTGCAGCGCCGCTTCCAGAAAGCCCAATACCTGGCGCTGCCCGAGCGCGCCGAGCTGGCGGCCCAGCTGGGGCTCACCCAGACCCAGGTAGGGCTGAACCCCCTCCCCGATCCCACCTGGGGGGCAGTGGGGTTGGGGTTAGGGCTGTATCCCCCACCTTGTGTGCCCCGAATCCACGTGGGGTTGGTGCGGCTCAGTTAGGGGCGTCCTTTGGGTGGGAGCTGGGAGCGTTTGGGGGACCCTTGGGATGTGGGGAGCCCTTGGGTGGGCGATCCTCACTTGTAGGGTGTGGGGAGCCCCGGGTTTCCCCGTGCAGAGCTGATCCGTGGTGCTGAGGGAGGGGACAGAGCGTGCCCCCAAACGTGGGGATGTGGGGCTTTACCCCCTCCCTGTCAGCACCCACATGGACAGATTGCTGGGGGTGGCTGCGGACGGTGCTCTCAGGACTCCCCCAACCCCGCTCCCCCTGAGTGGGCTTCCCATTCCCAGAAATAGGAATCTGGAACATCTGTGGGCTTGTCGGTGGGCTGCCACGTCAGGTTGAGTTCCACAAAGAGCGGGTTTCTCCTTCCCCACGCTTCCAGATCTTCCTCCCAGCTTTGGGACCAAAAGCTTCTCTTTCGGGGCTTTCCGGGCATGGGGACAAACCCGACCTCACTGGCGTGACAGCCACCCCACAACCCGCCCCATCCCATCTCCGTGCCCTCCCTGCCTGCAGGCCGGCGCCGGCGCCCTTGTGCCGCCCTTGGCGGGCGCTCCCCAACTCAACCTTCCTCCTCCTCCCTTGGGCGATGAAGCAATCGGGGACAACTCGGCAAAGGGCTGACGGAGCGCGTCACCCAGAGGGACATCCTGTTTGGGTGACACCGCCACTCCCCGCACCCCGTCCCCAAAGGCTCACAGCCTCACCCAACGCTGGGACGCTCCCGACGGCCGACGTGCCGGGCCGGTGTCCCGTGATGCCTGGTGTGATGGCTTCATGCAACACCCACGGCTCAGAGGCACTGCACACCGCACGTCCATGGCGACCCCATGGCACCCATAGCGTCGGTGACATTCAGTGCTGTCCCCATAGCACCCCTGCGACACCCTAAGCGTGGGCTCTCAGGTGTGCGGTGTGCTGCGCCTCTCCGAAATGCCCACCTTTCAGCTGACTTGCCACGGTGGTTGTCCATGGTTCCACTCTCAGTGTTGACTTCCCATGGTTTGTGGTGTCTTTGGGGACCCTATAAACACTGGTTCTGGAACTCGCTTCCCCTACAGCACACGGTGTGTGTCCAAAATGCAATTATCAGCACCGTGGTGCGTGCTGTGCCTGGGGTCCCCGTGGCACCCGGATCATGGATGGATTCCATCCGTGTGTCCCCATGACACAAACATCAGGAGTGACCTCCTTTATGGCTCGTGGTGTGAGCTGGGTCCCTGTGGCACTCACATCAGGTGGCTTCCCGTGGGGTCTGGGGTCCCCATGCTACCCACATCACAGGTGGCTTCCCATGGGGTCTGGGGTCCCCATGGCACCCACATCATGGGAAGCCACCCATGGGGTCCCCATAACTCCCACATCATAGGTGGCTTCCTACAGCACATGGCACATCTGGGATCCCCATGGTGCTCACATCACAGGTGGCTTCCCATGGCTCTGGGGTCCCCGTGACACCCATATCGTAGGTGACTCCCAGTGCTGCGTGCTGGGTTCCCACAGCCCCACACCACCATTCCCTTCCTATGGACCCCACATCCCACTGTCCCTCCCCACCTGTGCCATCCACCATCCCCTCACCCTATCCCTCCCCCTCCAGGTGAAGATCTGGTTCCAGAACCGCCGCTCCAAGTTCAAGAAGCTCTACAAGAATGGCGAGGTGCCATTGGAGCACAGCCCCAACAACAGCGATTCCATGGCCTGCAACTCCCCCCCATCGCCCGCCGTCTGGGACAGTGCCTCGCACGGCAGCGCGCCGGGACGGACCCCCCTCCCACAGCCTCTGCCCTACAGCCCCTCGCCCGCCTTCCTGGAGGAGCACAGCCCCTGGTACCACCCGCAGAGCCTCGCTGCCCCCCACCAGCCACCCACCACCATGCACCACACCTCGCCGGGGCCGCCCCCCAACCCGGGCGCCGTCTACTAACCGTAGGGGGGCAGAGACAGTGCAGAACTCCTCCTTTTCCCTTTCTTCCCCACCTCTCCTTCCCCCTCCCCTCGATTATTATTATTTTTTGAAGTGTTCCAGGACACTCGTGTACACACACCCCTATATATCCACTTCTGTATCCTCTCCTCTCCCAGCTCATCTCAGGAACAACAGGACTGCAAAGGGTTGAACTCGTGAGCTCTGCGCCCAGGGGACACCACCGCCGCCCCCCAACAACTGCATCCCCCCCCCCACCCACAGGAGAGACATTTGGGTGACTGTCACCCCTCCTTGGGGTCCCTGTGGAGCTTGTGGGACGCCGTGTGGGATGGAGACATGAGGACCAAAGCAGGGTGCCATCCCCACCTGGAGCAGGGGACACCCCTCACCCTCATGGCACCCAAAATCCAGCACCACGCAGGGACCAACAGTGGTCTGTGGACTATGGGTACTCCATGGGGTGTGGGTTTTCTGTGGGGTGTGGGTGCACCGTAGGGCTGTGGGTGTTCTATGGGGCCATGGGTTTTCCATGGGGCTTTGGGTGCTCCGTGGGACCATGGGTTCTCCATGGGGTTGTGGGTTCTCCATGTGGCCATGCGTCCTCCATAGGTTTTCCGTGGTGCAATGGGTTCTTCATGAGGCTGTAGGTGCTCTGTGGGTTCTCCATGGGGTTCTCTGTGAGTTCTCCATGGGGCCGTGGGTTCTCCATGGGGCTGTGGGTTGTCCATGGAGCTGTGGGTACTCTATGGGGACATGGGTTCTCCATGGGGCTGTGGGTTCTCCATGGGGCCATGGATTCTCCATGGGGCCATGGGTTCTCCATGGGGCTGTGGGTTGTCCATGGAGCTGTGGGTACCCTATGGGGCCATGGGTTCTCCATGGGTTCTCCATGGGGCTGTGGGTATTCTATGGGGCCATGGGTTCTCCATGGGGCTGTGGGTTCTCTGTAGGGCCATGGGTTCTCCATGGGACTATGGGTTGTCCATGGAGCTCTAGGTACTCCATTGGACCATGGGTTCTCCGTGAGTTCTCCATGGGGCCATGGGTTCTCCATGGGTTCTCCATGGGGCTGTGGGTACTCTATGGGGCCATGGGTTCTCCATGGTTTCTCCATGGGGCCATGGGTTCTCTGTAGGGCTGTGAGTTGTCCGTGGAGCTGTGAGAGCTCCATTGGACCACGGGTTCTCCATGAGGCTGTGGGTTCTCCATGGGGCCATGGGTTCTCCACAGGGCCGTGGGAACTCTATGGGGCTGAGGGTGCTCCATAGGGCTGTGAATGTTCCATAGGGCTGTGGGTGATCCATGGGTCCATGGGCAGCTTCACAGGACCCCAACCCTGGGGACGGCGCTCAGACGACGAGGCGGTTATTTAACAATTAAAAAAAATAATAATTAAAAAAAAAATAAATTTAAAAAAAAAA